ATAATGGCCCCAGAAAGGTGTCCATGTCCTAATCCCTGGAATTTAGAAATGTTACCTTATATGACAAAAGGGACTCTGTAGATGTGATTTAAGTTAAAGATTTGAGATGGAGAGATTATTCTGTATTATTTTGGCGGCTGCTATAAGAGGGAAGCAGGAGAGTCAGAGTCCAAGAGAAAGAGACTCGGGGTGGGACCATGAGCCAAGGAATGCAGAGAACCTCCAGAAGCTATCAAAGGCAGAAGGCAAGGAAACGGATTCTTTCCCAGGCCTTCCAGGAAAAACAAAATCCTGTCGACATCTTGAGTCAAGTTCATGGGGCCTCATTTGGGACTACTTACCTATTGAAGTATAAAATAATAAATTTGTTTCATTTTAAACCACTAAATTTGTGGTAATTTGTTATAGCAGCAACAAGAAACTAAGACAGAAGGCAAAAAAAAAAAAAATCACAGAAGGCCAGCATCATGAAAACCACTTGTGAAATTTTGATAGTCCCAAACATACACAAAAGGAAGTAGTTTTTCTACCAATGATACTGTGTCACTTGCTGTTCAAAGCTTTTTTATATAGTTAAAATGATTTCTTCTGATACATTAAACCTTTACTGGTATGTATGCAAAATAAGAGTGACACTTTCATTACACTTGTGTTGTGAAATTATGTCTGAGAAACTCAATCAAATGAGATAATAACCAACCGTGAAGTGCTTGGCAAATGCCTGACACATGGGAGGTGGCCATTAAATGTTAGTTTCCTCAACATTCCCTTGTAGATCTTGTATATCAAAGAATCAAGGTACAGTACAACACACATACACACACACACACACACACACACATTGGTGTTACATTTTAAATTTGTTCTCTTATGTAGGAGTTGTCTTATTGTATGGAAACCAGTTTAGCACAATAATAAAAAGATGTAATTAACTAGTCTTATTGGGATACATTAGGCAATTAAAGGGTCAATCTGAAACAGACACAAGAAAGGGATGAAGTTTGTTTTTGAGTTAATGGTTGCCAGAATTAATCAAGTCACAAATGTGCACCATTTTTTTTTCAATTGGTATTTTTAAATGCTTATTCTTAGCATTCTTTAATATTAATTTCATGCTAAATGAGTCATTATTAAATACTTATGAGGAAAACTATTTTTAAGCCATGTGCTCACTTAAAAATGTTAACTTATTACTTTCTGCAGGCAATAAAAATGTGCTATATTAGTTACAACACACCATGATTGTGGGATATATGCTCTGAGAATGCTTTTTTCACTGAACTAAAGAAAATTGGACTAAAACTGGCTTAGCATTCTCTCTTTTTCTTAATTTATTTTTTAGTTCTAGTTGGACACAACACTTTTTAGTTTTGCTTATTTATTTTTATGTGGTGCTGAGGATCAAACCCAGGGCCTCACATGTGCTAGGCGAGCACTCTACCTCTGAGCCACAGCCCAGCCCTTAGTGTTCTCTTGTATGCATCTTTGCTCAGAGGAAGGACAGATTTTTGTTTTCTGGGAATTCTATGTCAGAGATTTCGCAATGATAGGGTTCTTTCTCTTTCTACAACCGTCACAGAATTTTCCTTAAGTAGATAAAAGAGTTTCCTGTCTTGTCTCCTGCTAGGGTTTAGGTCCCTCCCCACACACACCTATTTTTTTCGAATGAAACTTGCTACTCTCTTGATTTTGTCTCATTTTAACAACTGAGTATGTATTAATATGTGGTGTAGTAAGAGCAGATGTTGATTAATTAAATGAAGAATCCCTTCACTAGACTTAGCTGCAAAAGGACAGAGAACCTTTTTTTTCCCACTATAGGAACACCAGACCCTACTATGGTGCCTCAGCTTAGTTCTGTGGTCAACAACTTGAAATAACACAAGTTTAACAGATTTATTTTTCCTTATTCTAAAAGAATTCCAGAGTTAGCTAATCTAGAAAATTCCCAGGATTGTTGGGGACCGACCTGGTGTGCTTCTCATTGGTTTTGCCTTCTTCATTCCACCACTACTATTCTTAAGGGTACCTTAGGGTCTAAGAGGGCTGGAGTTCCAGTTACATGGCCTCAGGTGTTAGTCAGTTGTCTGTTGCCATCACAAAGCACCTGAGAATCAACTTTAAAAGAGGAAAGGCTTATTTTGGTGTATAGTTTTGGAGGTTTCAGTCTATGGTCAGTTGGCCCATTGCTTTGAGGCAGGTGCAGCACAGCAAATCATGGGTCAAGAACATCAGCACTTAACAAAAGAAGCCCTTCACCTCCTGGTCTAGAATTAAAGAGAGTCCTACAATCCCCTTTGAGGGCACATTCCTAATGACCTAAAACCTCCCACTAGGTCTCACCTCTAAAGTTTTCACCATTGCTTAGGTTTCAGTACCATGGCCTTTGGGGGAACATTCAAGATCCAAACTTTAGAATACCCCTAGTTGGAAAGGAGTCTGGGAAAGGATTTGAAGCCAGGTTCTAACACCAAACAGAAGAGATGGCTCTGTGCATCTGGTTCTGTATCTGTGAAACTGAAATGTTACCTACTACACAGGAACGCTATGAGGATTAAAGTAAATAAAGCAGGCAAAAGAATCAGTCCAGTGCTGGCTTAAGAAACATGAATTAAATATTCACAGCCAAAGCCACAAAGGCACCTATCAAAGCCACAGACAAGATAATGTTCAGTGTTGGGGTGCCAAAAGGAAGACAGGAAACCAGGTGAGGGGACTCATTCTGGAAGGAGAAGTCTTACTAAAAGGGCTTCCACGATGTGGAATCCAAGACAGGTGATTCTATTTGTTGATTTCAACAGTCTGCAGGTTTGATGAAAATCAGGGAATTCTGACAACAGTTTTAATAGTAACAGTTTTATATTAGCCTATTTAATATAAAGGATATAATAATCTCTCAGATATGCCATTTTTTAATATCTATTTTTTAGTTGTAGCTGGACACAATACCTTTGCTTTGTTTATTTTTATGTGGTGCTGTGGCTCGAACTAGGGCCTTGCACATGCTAGGAGAGCACTCTACCACTGAGCCACAACCCCAGCTCATATGATATGCCATTTTTATTTCTGCATTTTTTTTTCTTGGTACCAGGGCTTGATCCCAGGGGCACTTAACCTCTGAGCCACATTTCCAGCCCTTTTTTTGTATTTTATTTACAGATAGGGGCTTCACTGAGTTCCTTAGGGCTTTCTAAGTTGCTGAGGCTGGCTTTGAACTCTCCATCCTCCTGCCTCAGCCTTCCAAGCTGCTGGGATTGCAGGAGCCACTGCTCAGCTCTGCTACATTTTTAGGTGTGAGTAGGTGCTACATTATAACCACAACTTTCTCCAGAGGCACACATTCTCAGATTTATGACCCAATTAAAAATAGATTTATACAAACTGATCATCTCATTACTGCTTAAAATATTTATAAGGACAGTTCCATACATATGGATGCCAGATAAAATGAATAACTATGAATCCTCAGAAATTGAAATTTGGATCTTTATATATTATATATGCTTCCCATTTAGCCCAAATTAGGCCTAAACATGGTGTCATTTCATTAACTGCAAAACTGCATAAGCCTAGCAATTCTTTATTAACCCTTGAACTAAAAAGATAAATCTCCACTACTGTAAGTCCTCAATTATTAGCACTACAAACACTAAAAATGATTTTTTGGCAAATAGGTAAAAGGACCTCATTAATGAAATAGTTTAATTGCTTTCTTTGCTAGTAAAGGAAGGACTGAAACATTGATTTACTGTTTGTCATTACACTATGTTTTTTTGTTTGTTTGTTTTGTTTTTCTCTGAGGTACTGGGGATTGCTTTACCATTGAGCCACACGACTAGCCCTTTTTTGTTTTTATTATAAGAGTCTAAGTTGCCCAGGCTGGCCTTGAATTTAAACATGCTCCTGTTGTAATCCCTGAGTTGTTGGGATTACACGTGCACACCTCCTTGCCAGGTTCTTAATAAATTCTTCTCTTTTTGGGGTGAGGGAGCCAGTGCTGGGGACACAACACAACTTTATTATAGCCAAGGTGTTAGGATGAGTGCCATTCAAGTGTGTATGTCCCTACATCGGCTCTGCTTTGGACTCACACACATGGGAAAATGTTTGTATCAAAGAAGCACAGACCCCTTTTAAGGTGGGATTTAAACAGTTTATTCCACTACACAGTCGCAAATCTTGCCCATTTTGTCTCCATTCTTGGATAGGGTTCCTCCTGTGTCCCCTTGTAATTTCTAAAACGTTACTACCACCATCCTACATGCTCATTTTATTACTTACAAGCTTTATGACCTTGGTCAATTACTTAATCTTTGATGGATTTATTCTTTGGCAAAATGAAGATTCCTTCATCATAAGATGATGAAGTTTAAATAAATAAGACCTATTTTTATTACATGCATAATTGCCTTGTAAGCTTTTTTTTTTAAGCACACGTGTAGTTTTAAGATGCAATTATGAAACACTAATTTTAAAACTAAAGATTAATAAGACTAGACTTCTCAGGTTATTATATGTACAAATATATTTTACAATTTAGACACCGATGAAAAACGCTCAAGCAATTTCTAAATTCTGGAATAAAACGTAACCCAGGACAAGCTAAGACCACAGACATGAACGGAACTTTGTACAAAATATTCTTCCCATTGATTTACACGGACCAGGTCTGGTGTGGCGCGCTTGTGGGTGGGGGGAGGGGAATCATTAACCTAAGAAAGGTGCCTTTTTGCTGCGGAGGACACGGTTAGGAAGTCTTACTCCAGACCCTGTTTAGAAGTTTCGCTCCCTTGATAAAGTGTCCTAATTTCCATTTTACCTCCTTTGCACTGTGAACAGAATCTTAAAGCAATGGGGCAAATATCCGAGGGAAGCTGCGCGCACCCAGGACTCTCACTCTGGCCCTTCCACCACCCCCAGCAGCCCATCCCTGCACTCGCCGCGGGGCCACTTCCGCCAGGCCCTGAGCGCCCGCCCCGCCCCCAGACCCGCCAGTCTTTCCCGCGAGGCCGCGGGCGCGCGGGGCGGCTTGCAAGCCCAGAGTGCACCGCGGGCACGTGTGCGCGCGCAGCTCCGCTGCTGAGGCCGCGGGAAAATTCCAAAAAAAGTCAAAACAAAACAAAAAGCCAACACGAGGCCAAGCCAAGTTTTCAAGCCACAGAACCCGGGCGGTGGCTTCCTTTCCGCCACAGCCCAAACTGCTGAAGCAGCTCTGGCGAGGACCACCCGGTAAGAAAGAGGCCGCAGAATGGAGGGAAGGCAGCTGCTTCCCTCAGGGTCTGGCCGATGCGTCAGCTGGGGCAGGGGGTGAGGAGGAGGGGAAGGGAGGGAAGACTCGCGAGAGCGTCCGCCTCGCCCGCGCTCTGGGTGGGTGAGCGGGTTCCCGCCAGGCTCAGGGTGTGAGGAGGGCGGGGGAAGCGCTGCGGGGGCGGTGCCAGCCCGCGGAAGGGCAGGGCCGCGCTGGGGAGGCCGGCGAAGCCAGGGGTGGAGCCGGGGGCGGGGCCTGGCCGGCGAGGGCGTGGTCTAGGGCGGTAAAGACACAGGGGCGGGGCCGCCGGGGAGGGGCGTGGTCGCAGGCGGGGCGAACTGAGCGGTGGAGCCGCGGGGGGCGGGGGTGAGGTCACGCGGCAGGGCTCCCCAGAGAGGCGGGAGGGGGAGCCGGTGTGTTGGAACTTTTTTGTTCATTGAATGCAGGGGCCTGGGTCCTCTTCAGAGGAGAGGAACAACGGTGTATTTCTTTGTCTCAGGTCCGTGGGGTCTGTGCAGAGCTCGCGTCCTAGCCTGTCGCCCTCCAGAGCTGGCCAGGTCCTGTAGCCCCCTTGGAGGAACGGGCGGGCTCTAGTGGGCGCTGCTGTGAAACTCCTGCTCTGAGTGCCAGGGCAAGTCGCGTTCAAAGCTCTTCTGTGGTTTTTAGGGGTGTAGTTTGTTGGCTTGCTCTTTTTATCTTTTAGGTGGGTGCATGTGCAGCTAGCATCTCGGTGATCCTGTTGTAGGGGCTAGGGCTCCGGATTGGGGGGAAATTTGGAGTTTTTGAAAACACTGTTAAGTTGGGGACTAGGATCTTAAGGAAAGGAACCAAGGAATTTTCCAGCCAAGATGGACATCTGCATGTGCCTGCATTAAAGAAGCACAGACTATCAGATATGTGTTTGGCAAAGAATTTCTCTCTGTTTTGTTCTAATCTGAAACGGGTTGAAAGCTCCTGTGGTTTCCGACTAGCCTGTGCCCCCATTGAACACGTCTAAACTGTGATGTGATTGACTTGCCAGTTATCAGTGAGCAGAGCACTTTTAGGCCACCCAACTTAAGCTATTTATGATTGTCACTCACCTTTAGTGATAAATAGACCGCACAAAACTCTATCGCACAGCTTCTTCTCTCAAGGGAAGGTTGTTACAGATGACAGAATTCATACCATGTGTGGTGATCATTCATTCATAAGCGTAGATAGAAAACATGTTCACTGTGACTTTATCCATTAAACTGCATCAACAAAGAATTTGTTTTCCTGCTTATATCAAAGGGCTGTTTCACCTCTCCTCCTAGAGTAAAAGTTGTACCCTACTTAATTAGAATTGTACTAATTATACTTTGGTATAAAAGTATTAATTGTACTTTTATATATTTTGTATATTATACCTTGCAGTTCATTTTTTTTCATTTTGTCATGTTCCTCTTCATTACTTTAAAAATTATTACAGCCTTAAAAAGGAAGATTTCATATATATATGAAATATATATATATATATATATATAAATTTTATTTATTTATTTTTTCTTTTTTCCTGTCCTCAAAAAAAAAAAAAAAACCACATTGACTTAATTGTTTGGCTGGATGTGGAAGATATGTTGTGGCATGTGTATAAAACTGTGCATGAGCATTTTAAAATAAATGGTATTTTAAACCAGTTCCACATTTCAGCAAGTAGTTCCAGTAACAATTATACAAATTTTATATTTATGAAAACCAGCTACAGAGGGAGGCCAGCCTGGCCAGTAGACAGTTGGACTGATTGTCTAGGCCACAGAGAAACCCAGAGGAATCTCACTTGAGCTCTAGTTCCAAGCAGAGAGTGGTAGAGCCTCAGGGTAAAGTTCAGTATGAAATGACTTTAAAATTTTATTTTAACCTAATCTATGCATATTCTCTGTTCTTGTTTATGGCTCCTGAATGACTGTTTAATATGAAAGAACACCTATAGGAGAGCTATGTTGAATTTTCAATGTTTCATTAAAAATGATCGTATCCAGAGGGATATATTATGGATAGTGCTGCTGTGATGTGGACAGGTGTTTAGACATGTTTTTATTTATTTATTTTATTTTATTTTATAAATATATATATTTTTTAGTTGTTGGTAGACCTTTATTTATTTGTATGCGGTGCTGAGAATCGAACCCAGTGCCTCACACATACCAGGAAAGTGCGCTACCACTGAGCCACAGCCACAGCCCCTGTTTTTATTTTTCTTGGACAGATACATATGAGTGAAAGTGCTGGTTGTAAAATAAGATTAACTTCTTAATAATCAAACTGTTTTCTATGTGGCTATATCATTTGCATTCTTACCAGCAATGTGTGAGGATTTTAACTTTGCCACATCTTTACCAATACTTCTGTCTTTTTTTATAATCATCATCATGGTGGGTTTGAAGTAGTATCTCATTGTTTTTATTTTGAATTTCCCTACTAGCTAATGATGTTGAACACATTTGCATTTGCTTATTAGCTCTTCTATGTCTTTTTAAACACATCTTTTTGAATATTTTCTCCATTTTTTAAATTGGGTTCTTGGTTTTATTACTGTAGGAGGTCGTAAACATTCATGTTAGGGATACGAGTCCACTATCAGATATGTGTTTTGCAAAGAATTTCTCTCTGTTACTTGTCCTCATTTTCATCATGTTAAAAAAAGTTTTTAAATTTGAGAAGTCCAATTCATTATTTTTTCTTTTTTTGAATTACAGTTTTAAGGCTATTATCAAATTTCACTTAATTTTCATGTATGCCCTGAGGAATGGATTCAAATTCATCTTTTTGCATGTGGATATGCAGTTGTCCCAACACTGTTGGGAAAAAACCTGTCTTTTCTCCATGTAATTTGCCTTGGCACCATGGTAAAAAATCGGTTGACCATAGCTGGGTGTGGTGGCACAGTTTATTATTGAGTTTCTTTGGAGGCTGAGGCAGGAGGATCTCAACTTAAAAGCCCACATGGGTATCTTAGCTAGACCCTGTTGCAAAACAATAGGAAATGGGCTGGGGTTGTACCTCAGTAATAGAGCACTTGCTTAGCATGCAAGGATCCCTGGGTTCAGTTACCTGTACTGCCAAAAGGAAAAAAAAAATCAATTTGGCCATAAGTGTAAGGTTTATTTCTAGCCTCTCATTTCTGTTTCAGTGATCTGTATGCTTGCTCTTACATTACCACCAGGCTGTCTTCATATGGTAGCTTTTAGTAAATTTGAAGTTGGGAAGTTTAAGTCTTCTAACGTGTTTCTCATTTTTCCAAATCATTTAGGCTATTCTGGGTTACTTAGACATATAAATTTTAGGATTAACTTGCGATTTTTCTCCAGAACAACCCTGCTGTGATGGATTTTGATTGGAGCTCTATTGAATCTATCGATCTGTTTGGGGGTGAGATTGCCATTTTACCAGGATCATGTAAACTTTTCATTCATTTAGATCTTTTAATTTCTCTCAGCGATATTTAGTAATTTTTAATTTAAATTTCTTTTGTTAAATTTATCTTGAAGTTTTTGTTTTTGATGCTATTGTGAATATGATCTAAAAATTTTTCATTGTTGGATTGATTGTTGCAGCAGTATATAAAAATGTAATGGATTTTTGTATGTTGAACATGTAACTTGCAACCTTGCTGACCTTGATCATTGCTTTCAGCAGGGTTTTATTTTCCTTTTTTTTTTTGGTGAATCCTATAGAATTTTCTGTTTGTTGAGATGACCAGTGATTATGTTTTTTTCTTCTATTAATATGATTTATTACATCATAACTGCTATACAGTGTTATAGAATTCTTTTTTAATATATATTATATATGTTTTAACATATATATAACATATATATGTTACTGCATTTTGTTGAGGAGTTTTTGGTTTATTTTTTAAGAGAGAGAGGAGGGAGAGAATTTATCCGTATTTCATTTGTATGCGGTGCTGAGGATGGAACCCAGCGCCCGGCGCCTGCCAGGCCAGCGCCTACCACTGAGCCATCCCCGGCCGGTTCGTGCGTTCAGGTCCCGAGGAGGAGCGCCCAGTGGTGGTTTTTCAGGCTCCGACATTTGGTATTTACGGAGTCGTAGGACGCCCTTGGGAAAAGCTTCCCTCCTGGAAAGGGCCGGGAAGGGCCTCCCTCCCGTTTTTGTCTCGTTTGCCCAGCATTGGTAATATTTCGTTAAGTATCTGATGGCACTCGCCCGTGAAGTCCTCGGTACCGGATTTCTTTTGGTGGGAGTTGGGGATCAACCAGCTGGAGGTCTGCGCGCCAGCGGCTGCAGGGGGCGGCTGCACCTGCCAAGGCCTGCTTCGGGGCACGCGCCCTCTCGCGGGCTTGTGCCCTGCTCTGGGTCCCTGGTTTGTGCCCGCGGTCTGTGCCGGTGTCACGTGTCCGGCGCCGGGTGTGGGGTTTGCGTGCTTTTGCACAACTTTTAAAAAGTTGACATAGTTAATCACAGTTTTGCTTGATGATAAGTATCTCAATCCATAGGTATTTTTTGCAACTATTCAGCAAATTTTAAGAATAATACAAAAATAAAAATATTTTATATGAAATGCATAACTGATTTTTTAAAATATTGAGTAGTTATAAGCTAAGAAAAAAATAAAAGTATTTTGAATTTTGGTAGTGACATTTCTTTGGAGGAATTAAGAGCTGGGAATATATTTCACTATAACATTTTCTGGTATCTTTATTTAGTTCTACAAGGTATACTTAAAATTGTACTAAGTAATTTTGGTTTTAAAAGAATTTAAGTGTCATTTGATGTAAAAGTAACTTGAATTTTGGAGAATTGTCTGTTCTTGAGACAGAATGGTGAAAACAGGACATCTTTAAAAATATTCTTGCGCTGAATCAGAACCGTCTTTGGTTACATCATATCCTGGCTGCAGTGGCTAAAGCTGAAGGGTTACACATTAGTTAATTTTGAAACTGTATATTGATGTACACTGAGTGGCACCTGTGTCAGAAGCCTCAGATTGTGCCCT